AGAAAGGTAGTAAAACATTGTTAAAATGGTCCAAACAATTGTGTTCCGAAGACGAACGAAGGTCTTACGGGTTTGGAACGACATGAGGGCGAGTAATAATGACAGAACATTCATTTTGGGGTGAACTAGCATTTTTTCTCAGGCTAGTTTTTGCAAAAATGAACCATAATGCGAGAAAACATTTAAATAAAAAGTTTGAAAAAAGGAATGAGATAAATATATTAGTAATTTAGTTGTGTACATTAAAAAAACACATATAGATTCAACTTACCCCCAACAAATATCTTTTCCCCAAGAAGTCATATTTCTATATTTTATAGATGCTTTCTGACTACAGTTGATAACCATATATTAAGGCATATTTTTTTAATTTCTCTTTGAAAAAATTACACAGCTTACCCTACTGTCCCCCACATGACTCCACTAAGAGGTATTTACATTTTTCAAAGGTGCAAATAATCTGCATTGTGTGTGCAGCAGAGCAGTGGCCTAAAATAGCAATGCACTCCAACTCAACCTTGACACCTTGAAGAAAAAGGTGTGTACAATTCTGAAATGTAAACACAGTCAGCAGCAGCTCCTGTAGGTGCTCATGCAACCTGAGCTCCACTGGACGCCAGTGTCACCAAAACGTTTAGCAAGTACCACCAGCAGGGTTCCACCTCGACGACGAGATCAAAGTTACAATTACAAGGAACATTATATTCCTGTGGTATTTTCCCACGTCCCCACTGACCTGTTGCCTGCGGGAGGTTGCGGCACCATCCTCGGCGGCGCTTTCCAGTCCTTCCCCCTGGTGAGCGGGCGCTTCATTCACGTCCAGTACCGCATCCACCATCTCCAGTTGTCGTCCTCTGAGAAGGTCCAGCTCCATTATGCCTGCGAGAGTGGCTTTCAGTCGCTCTCCGATGCGAACCCGATCGCTCCCTGACCATAGCGAATTCACACAACCGCGGCGTCCGGCCATTGTGCGCGCAAAATCGGTTTTCAAGACAGACACTGTGGTCGCCGTTGAACGCGGAGAGCTCACTCACAGCTCGCCTCTAGCCAGAGTCCCGACTACCGACTGTCAATGCAGCGTGAACGCTGTGCGACATGAGCAAGCACCAGAGCCGATGCTTAAAATTCAGAGTCCGTAACAATGTATCTTTGCAGCTCACGAAAATGCAGAACGGAGGCGACTCAACTTTCGCTAGGAGGCACATGTAACAAAGGCATACTTTCAAGGTCTTAATTTACACCCCCGAATAATCCGTCCCCACCTAACCATTTTGAGGCGCCAGAATCATCACGTCAGCTATCATTCGGTTCATGATGATGAAGATGATGTGGATTGAATCATATGCGACAGTCTTGCACACAGCTCATTGCTGTAAAGAAAAGAGTATGAATAGGGCGGAGTTAGAACATGAAAGCTCGCTGCTGATTGGCCGGGGAAGTTTTCGAACAGAATGGACTAGTTTTTTTAAGAGGAATGCGAATCTAGTAGTTGGTACGATATAGTGTAGCAGCTAGTAGGCTTCTGAATAACATTTACACGCAAAAAAATATTAAAAATTGTGTTTATTTATTAAATTGAGGGACTGAATATGTGTGTTGTACTACAGATTGATTTATTCAGCCCAATGACTCGATTCAATTTGAATCGTTGGAATTCAAAGATTCATTCACGCGCTTCACATGCGAGAAAAATGATTCAGTGCATGAAAAGATTCGATAATTTAAAACATTTCACGTTCTCTTATGAATTACTAGTAGTTTAATTATGGGATCACTTTCAAATACGCAAATAAAGAAAAACAAGTGATGACCCTGATTGTGATTTATAACGAGTATGCTGTTACTTTAGTGACGTATTAGCCTACTCTGTGTGTTTTCCCAAAATGATCAAATATCCGCTTGCTTTGGTTGGTTTCAAACATAGACGGTTTCAAATAGCAGCTCCTGTCGGAGACAGAAACAAACCAAGACTTTCTAACCAGCAGGTGACAGTATCTGACTGCCTGTCAAACTGCGTCTTTACTAACAAGACCTCCTTCGGCAGGGTAGCCTACAACGAGCCTAAAGGCACTCACTACTCCCATTTGGTATGATTGCAGAACAAAATATTTATTTATATATATATATATATATATATATATATATATATATTATTCAAAATTAATGGAGCAACAGATTTTGTGTGAAAATTAAATATAAAAGTGATTAATTTTGTTTAAAAAAACTTGGTTCTTCTGGTTATTTTGATATAATAATTTATTTATTTTTTCAATGAATATGGCACTGTCATTAAAATGTTCATTTAAAAAAAACAGAAGCAAAATTATTTTACATTCTGAAAGCGAAGAGATCCTATTAAAATGTATTATACATAGCTTTACAGTTGTAACAAATAAATATATTTTATGTAGCCGTGTAAAATCAGTTTGTGTTTGTTTGTAAAACAATTCCAATTCCAATTCATCTGACTGCAAAAATGTACTATTATCCAAGAAGTTCAAAATAAATATTTATTTTATTAAACAGGCATATAACACAAAACGTTCTTTACATCCAGCTATTCCTTTCCTTTTTCATCACTATATTAAACTACACTAACTATATAGGCAAACTTCCTCCTAAAACCATGAACTGAATGTGAAACCGCAAACTCCAGCAATTCTCTTCCATTTCACTTTCTTCCCATCCTCTTTTCCCACAGATTTACTTTTGTTTATAAAATCGGCTATTTTGCCTATAGGCTACGATGAGCACAGTCAAGTCAGATCCATCAAAATGTATTTTTCACCTGTTTTCAACCTGCTTTGAAATTTTAAGGTATAGATTTAAGGCAACCCATCTGAACCAGTGAGATGTGTTTTGTTTAACAAAAGAAATTCTGTGTTGTTTCATGTCAGGCACATAATATTGTACACTGTTTCTTTTGTATCTGCCTGACCTCATTGAGAAAGGGGGCATGGAGAGGATGGGCCTTAGGGTAAATAGAAAAGAAAAAGTGGCTTTTGCTCCAAACTCTGAGGCGCTTGGACTCCGTTTCACTAGTTGCAGCCTGTAACACACCATACTAACCTCATTGTGTTTGGGGTTCAGTCATCTCACTCAAAAAACAAAAAAACAAAACAAAACAAAAACAAGAGATAGTTCATCTAAAAATGGAAATTCTGTCATCATTTACTCACTCTCATGTCATTCCAAAACGTTCTTCTCTGGCTGTTTTTATTGTGTTTATTGTTTTTTTATTTTTTATCAATAAATGTTTTTATTTATGTTAGTTGTTTTAAATTTGTGTGAAAATAAATCATAAAAGTGGTAAAAATCTTACAAATCTACCCCACACATGAAGTAAAAGTTCATCAGCGTGGGGCAAAAGGCACATTGATAAAAATACTCTCTAACATGTTTTCAAAAATGTCTAAGTTAATAAGTTCAAACCAATCACTTTAGCAAAGTTTACTATTTTCGGTCTATTTAAATAATTAATTTTTGTTCAATAAATATACTGTCATTAAAATGTTAATTTTAAAAATACATTAAAAAAATAAAAAAAAAGGAAAGTATCTGAAAGCATTGAATGAGGTCCCATAATACTTTAACAAAGCTTTCCAATATTAACAAATAAATATGATATTTTATCATATTATATAATTAATATCATATTTTTAATAATGATTGTTTCATTATAAATTTGGTGATTATCTCTAAGGTGGAAAAACCAAACTTGATATATTAACCATCTGAATCTAACCATATCATGTCAACAAATGGAAAAGTCAACCAGCTGTTTTTGTGCTATAGTGCTTAAACAGACCGTCAAATGCAAAATTTAAAACCTATATTGACCTCCATTGTGGCCATATATGTAACCCCTCAGGTCCTACTCACCCCACTCTGTGTTCGGGCCTCAAACCGGGGTCGCCGGTGTGGGAGGTGGGCGCGCTAACAGGGACGCTAAAGACCACTGTAGTGTTAGTTGCTAGTGCGCCTCTTGAGATCAGGGGAGTGAGGTTCACCAGCACAGTTTACACTCACCGTCCTAAACCTCATTCCCATCTGGGTCACACTACCAATGTAATCCCTCAGGTTCTACTCACCCCATTCTGTGAAGGCCTCGAACCCTGGTCACTAGCGTGGAAGGTGGGTGCACTAACCGCAGTCTCTATCATCAGTCGCCAGTGTGCCTCTTGAGATTGTGAGCTTTACTTGCACAGCTCTCGCTCTGTTACACACACACACACACACACACACACATATACAAACAATGGAGATCAATTAGCTTCAATTTTATTTATTTTTTAGTTTCCACCATTATACCATTCATTAGTTTCCACACCTTCAACATATCTTTTGTGTTCTGCAGAAGAAAGTCATTCAGTTTTGGAATGACACGAGGTTGAGTAAATGACAGAATTTTAATTTTTGGGTGAACAGCCTATCCCTTTACGTCACACATATGCTATATTAAATGTATTCAATATGAACTGCAATATTTGATGGCCAAAACAATGTATAAATATCTAAAAAAAATTACATTGTATTTTATGCAGGCTATAGGCTTATGTTTAAAAATAAAGACATAAAATAACAGACTGCTATTCTGTTAAATCTTTTTCAATACTAATAATAGCCTATATTAAAAACGAGGCATACAAGGTCTACGTGTTTGTCCCGTTACTCCAGTTCAGTGAACTCTCAACAGTCACACGTACATCAACACATTTGTTGTTCACTGTGGTGGTGTTACACAAACGCTGATGCCGTAATTATTAATTGAGCTGTCAGGCACAAAAAAAGCGGGGCTGAACTTCAAATAGCCGGTGTCTATGAATGTTGCGTTCATTATTAAACCAGCGCGAGGACAGGAGAGGCTGTGAAGAGGTTTTGAAGAGCTTATGTAACGGCTAATATCATCACAAGGTCTTTAAATACACAAGCACTTCTCATCTTTTCACACTTCAGACTGTCCTCCCCCTACCCCCCTACACACACGTATAAAGCCCGAGCGCCGCGAACTGAAAGTAGGCATTCGAGACAATCTTCTCCGAGGGCACTTCGTCAGCCCGGGCACAGCCTCCTCCTACCACACCATCGTACACGTCTCCATCCTCGTCAATCCAGTCAGAATGCCTCCCTACGAGAAATCCATGGAAATTATGCCTTTCAAGCAAAGGAAGTGCCTTGGTAGGTCATGACTTGACAACAACATTCAACTTTTTGCATTTTACTAACTCCTCTACGTCGCTTGTTTTACATTGTTGGGAATGTTTACGTTAATTTCATGTTTTCTAACTTTATATCTTTTTAGCTAAAAACAATTTTCCACAACGCAAACAAGTTGCTATTTAGGCCTTTCTCATGTTATTTTCTTATTTATTCTTATTGTTTTATATTTAGGCTATCTTAAAGAAAGCTATTTTCAATGATCAGAAAAAAATAATAATAAAAATATTTGTTCTTCCAATGTAGAAACAAGAAAAGATGAAGTCTGCACAATTCGGTCTAAGTTCCCCAACAAATTACCGGTGAGGTGCCTTTTTGATTATGGAATGTTTAAACAACAATAAAACAGCGTCTATTTTCAACATTATAAATGTGTATGTATGTTTTGTATTTTAGGTAATTGTGGAGCGATACCTTCGGGAGACAAAGCTTCCCCTACTGGACAAAACCAAATTTCTCGTCCCATATGAGCTGGCATTAGGGCAGTTCCTCAGTCTACTCAGGTGTGTAAACTCTCTCAAAAATAAAAGTACATGCAGTTTTGGACTTGTCATGTGACTGTTTATGCAGCAGAGAATGAGTCAATGCTTGTTTTCTTAAGTCAGTGTTGAATACGTGTTGTGTGAACAGTGAATCATGAATGTTTTGCCCTATTACCACGTTGTTTAGGTCTTTGGATGTCTGTTATGAAGTTTCAAGCAGAATCATTTTCTGTAATGCCAATTTTATGTTTTGCTCTTTCTCTTACAGAAGTAAGATAGCGCTAGAGGCATCTCAAGCTCTGTACCTACTGATCTCAGGAAAGAACATGTCCTGTTTGTCAACCAGCATGGGAGAAGTTTATTCACAGTTCAGAGACCCTGATGGCTTCCTATACATAACCTATGCATCCCAGGACATGTTTGGGTGAAAAGACCCTCCAAAATGACCATGTGACAGAGACTCCAGACGGATGCCTTTCTGAAATCATAACTCTTGCTGCTATAAATGAAGACTCTCACTGTGCATTACACCTAAAACAACACAGTCCACCAATCACACCTGGCCGAGAGGACTCTTCTGACCTCATTTCTCAGTAGTTTAGTTTTCTTTGAGGCTAATGTTGAAGTAAAATCCGTAATTTTGAAAGAGATTACAACTGAGCCGTGTTATGTGAAGAGTGATGGCACTTGCACTACTCTTCAAGCTGCTCAGTTATTAGGCTCTGATTTCTGAAAGAACACAAAAAAGGATGTCCTGTTCCTCAAAGGATCTGAGATGTCCTGTTACAATGAGACTGGGTTTGTTTCTCCCCGTGCTCTTTCTGTGACTGCACGTCTGTGTTTCTAATACAAACACAGAGGAGACAAATGCACAACTATTTGAGCACCTACTCTGGATGAAAATGAGTGCAAACAACACAGTCACTATGTACTCAGCTTCAACTGCGGTTTATTCTCAATAAATCACTTTAGTTCTTGAATGTCTGATTTTATTTGATTTAATGGATTCTGTTAAAGTGGTTTATTCTGTTTAACATTTTACTAAGATTAACATATCTAGTGACACACATGTACCATCAAAAAAGAGGAACCTACTTTGCTTATTTGTCATTTGGTTATTTCTGCCGTTTCAAATAAAGAATGTGGCAAGGGAGTGACTTATAAACATGTACACAGCAGTGAAGCAATTCTATGCTAAACATTTGAGTCAGTGCTTTATAGTTTCACACCACTTCTAAAGATGCATCGCCTTCTTACACGTGGCTGTTATTAACCAGCATCTCTAATAGAAGGGTTTAGGTTACTGTGTCAGTAAGAAGTCACATGGGGAGGTGTTAAGCAGGTCAGGTCTAACACTCTATATAGCTAAATAAACAATTTAAAAGACTGTTAATTGCTTATTAGTGTCCCTCAAAATGCAACTAACTATCATTATCTAGCAAAGTGGTTTAATTTAAGATTAAGTGCAGCAAATATAGGGTGAGTTGATGGAGGTAATTTTAAAACTTTCACATCTGCATTCTTACTGTCACTTAGGATATTACTGGGAACTTTAGCACCTTCCTGTCAAGTGTGTACTGAGAGCTGAATGCATTAACCGAGAAATGACAATTAAAAAGTTCAAACGGTGCTAAATTGAGGTCTCTACTGGACAGAATGCACATATCATTGCCAAAACAAAGTACCGGTAGTTGCACTATTGTTCAAAAGTTTGTTTTTGAAAGAAGTCTCTTAGGTCACCAAATGTTTTCAACACCAAATCATTCAACATAGTTAAAACAGTTTTTTTATTTGACAATAATACTTTTCAATCTGGTTTTAGAACTGGCCATATCACCATTACTGTTACTTCGGTGGTGATAAACAACCTTATTGGTGCCCTGAACAGAAAACAGCACTGCGCTGCCTTATTATTTGTGGATTTATCCAAGGCATTTGATTCAGTGGATCATGAATTGCTGCTGAACAAACTTAGCAGTGCATGTTTTGAACATGGGACAGTGAAATGGTTTAGAAATTATTTGGCAGCTCGGATTCAGTGTGTTCATGTAGAGATCAAAAATCTGATTTTCTTAACATATCTGAAGTAAAGGGGTCCCCTAGGGGTCCATTTCGGGACCTGTTTTGTTTTCTATTTATATAAATGATCTGGGTAAGGACATTCAAGCAAACAAACACTTATGATGACAATACTAATTTATACACTTGCTCCATCCATAACACAGGCAGAGCAAGGGCTTCAAACTGCATTTCAGTCATTGCAAAGTGCTTTTGTGAGCTTAAAATACGTTTTTAAATTCACAGAAAACAAAGTTTATGGGGTTTTTTTTCCAAGTACTTGATAATTTTAGCATTTTTACATCATATGGTAAAAAATTGAATGAGTATCTTACAAATACTTGGGCATTTGGATGGATTTAGACAGTGCTAATGAAGGTTTGTGATTGTTTTTGTTGAGAGGATACTATATATATATATATATATATACACTTTTACTTTTGAGCAGTACATCAAAGATAAGATCTTTAGATGAATCTAAAAGATGCATCTTGAATACTGTAAACAAATATTTTAGACATACTTAAAAAAAAACTTCATTTGACAGCGAGGGATCACGTTACAGTAAACTAAGAAAGTAATAGATGCATGACAAGAAAAAAAATCTGTGATCAACTCTCAATAGCTCCCAAAGAAAACAAGAAACTGTACAGTACAGCACCTCAACATGCCTCAACAAAACTACTTGATGAGCAGAGAAAAATATGACGCCGTCATTGCATTACTTCCATTCCATGAAGAACACAGTTTTTCCACACAGATTCAAACGCTCTATTGATGCAAGTACATAGTTCCCGGTCATCTTTCACAACTATTAATGTTGGTGTTTGTTTCCAAAGATTTCACTACATATTGCAATTTGTAGTGTCTCTAAATGCAGAAAACTCTGAAGCGCATGTTTACAAATAAACTCTTTTATTGGTCAATGAAATTGCTGAATTAAAATAAAGGTGAGGTTTTCAGATCACATAATCCCAATAGAAAATAAAGATACAGCCTCAAAATTACAGATTACGTATACGGATATAGTTTAGAGATTTTAAATCAGAAAACAGTCATCAATTTTCAAATTTGAAACTAAAAAAATACAGATATAATAGCTTTAAAGAAAAAGAATAAGTTAAGGACATCTTGCAAAAAAAAAAAAACCCAGAACAGCAATTATGTTTGGATATATCATATATGGAATATTTTTCACATTTTTGTTTCTTTAAAGAACCCCCTTAACATCCTCTTTGCCTGCTGCTTTACGACCTCAATTCAATGTCCATTAAACACAACAGTACCATAGAAGTGTTGCAATCAATTTAATTTCTTAGTGGTTTCTCCATTTCTAAACCATATTAAAAATGAAGAAGAAAGAAAGTCACTCACTGGCACATAAGTTCTTCTTGGTTGGTCTCTCTCAGTCCTATCATTCTAAACCAAGCATTTTTGATTTATTACCCTTCTTGCAAATGTATGTTTAAGACAGAAATCCAGTTCCTGATGACAAGTTAGTTAACTGAATGGCCAAAGAAGATAGAAGATATGGCTTGGGCAATTTGGAATGTAGCTGAGAGCCACTGAAATCCAATTAACTCGAGCCGGCTCTTCAATTCTGCTCGGCCCGTTTGGAAGGTGGCACTAGGTGAGCGGGCAGTTTAGCTGGAAGCTCATGCCCCTCTAGCTTTACCTTGATCAGATGATTCGCCAGCGCAAACTCTTCATCGTCAAGGTAGCCATCTTTGTCAACGTCTGCCAGAGTCCAAATCTTTCCGAGCACTGTGTTTGGCAGCTTGGATTTCACCAACTCCTTCTTAGCCGTGGCACCGGATACCTTCCCATTAATTGGCGAGAGGGTGTAGAATATTTCGTCATAGGATGGCTTATCACGTCCCACGATCCACTCCAGCTCATCAATGCCTTCCCCTGCACCTTCCCCATATCCGTGACCAAACGGCCCGCTCATGGTTCCCTCAAACGCACCACCCTTCACTGACTGGCTGGGCATGGCGGCCTCCTCCTTACGGACCAGCGTCATGAGCTTAGCAATGTCATTACCTAGCATGTCTTCCACTGACTCCATTAATTTTGGCTTCATGGCAGGAAATTTGGTGAAGTCATGACCAGCTAGCAACTCCTGTAAAAAAATATTGTGTTATGTTTTTATTTTAAAATGAAAAGCTCTTTATGAAACTTTCATTTATTGGATAAAAATTTATAGTTTCATACCTGCATTTTCTTTAGGTTAGGAAAGTCTCCAGGTGAAATGTTGTGCTCTTTCTGAATCTTTTCATAGATTGCACCCAAGTTGGCAATAAGCTCTTTCTTTTTTGTGTCTTTGCCAAATACACTAGGCATCTCTTTCTTTAGAGAACTGATAATGTAAGCATGTACCTAGAATAAAAGTATTCAGAATTGACTCAAATTAAATACAAGTATCATTTTTGTTCAGTTTAGCACTTCTCACAAGTATTAGGTTCTTTCAGAAAATGAAAATAAGACTTGAAACTTTATCTGTGAGATCAAACTACTGTACACATTTAATGGGGATTAAAGTTGAAAAGATAAAAGTGTCCAAGTATAAGGCATTTTCGTGGATCATCCACAAAACAATATCATATATTTATTTTAAAATAGCTCTCAAAAACTTGGGATTGGTAAGATTTTGTTTTAGAAATAGATCTATTATGGTAGCCAATCCAATTTTCTAACAATAAAAAAATCAGAATTGTAAACATTAATACAATATTTAATACAATACAACTCTTTTTCTATATTTTAAAATATGAAATCATTCTAATATGCTGATTTTATCATCAATGTTGAAACCAGCTGTGCTGCTCAATATTTCATAGAAACCCTGATACCATTTTTTTCAGGACCCCTTAATGAATAGAAAATTCAAAATAACAGCATTTATTTAAAATAGAAAATTGCTGAATACAAGTAACAATTTCTTAAAAAATAATAATAATAATAATATATAAATATTGCTGATTCCCAAACTTGAACTATGGTGTGCGTGTCAGTTTTACCTTAGCGAGACGTGCTCTTTTGATCAGATCATTGAGCTTCCGTAGGGCTGCATTCCTGGGAAGACTTTGAATATCGCTGAAGAGGTCCTTCTCCTCCGCTTCAAACAGCTTCCTGTTATCTGCGATGAGAAGTGGCTGAGCCCAAAATGAGCCGATATACACTCTGACCACCTCGGGGGTGTTTATGATCTTCCCCAGTGACCACATGAGGGCACCATACACCCTCATCAGCTGCTGGGTGCTGATCTGGTCAGCTTTGTTCAGAACCACACGCATCTTGTCCTCGTGGTTTTTCAGGGCCTTGATCACATCTGAGAACTCATCAGATATGTCCAGCTTGTGGGCATCAAAGAGCAGGATGATTCGGTCCACTCGTTCGGCGAACCACTCAAGAACTGCTGCAAAGTCATACCCTGAAATTGAGATAAGATACAAAGAGGTGCATTAGATTGGGTCCTAAATCAAAGCTCTGGAAAGAGGGAGTTAACAGGGCTGCATGCAACATCTTAGAAAAGGAGGTCAGGGATAATGGATTTGATTAGCGACAACGTCATCTGATCTCAGTGAATTCAGATAATTATAAACAGCAACTATAAAGCTGTGTATTCTGAGAAAGGAGATATGCTGCCTGTGAAATCCCTGGTGTCTCTGTACGTGAATAGAAAGTCAACTATTGCCATCAAACTTTGTCATCATTTACTTTTTCTGTAGAGAACCAGTGGCGGTCCTGGCTCAGTCATAATCAAAGAAAAAGGACATTTTCAAGTAAAGAATATGCCATAGGAAGTATATTAAACCACTTAACTGTCACCGTCCCACAGGTGGGATGTTTGCCGCTATATTTTTAAAACAATAATATCTTAGTAAATACCTTAAATAATATTGACAAACTATATATCATT